TGAATGTTGCACTGTGAAGCTCCCCTGTAGTTGAGAGTGTCACACAGGGTGATTAATGACACACTCTCTTCTCCTTCCAAGCCTGTCCCTGTCCTCACTCCATATCTTGCTTTCACCCTTTTCTCTCACCCACCCTCTCCTGCCTCGAGGTTCCTCTCCTCCTCCTCACCTCTAATCTTTCTGTCCCTCTCTGAAGTCCCCCCTCCCCAAATCTCTTTTCATTTACTTCAAGATTTTAGCACACGGCAATCTGAGAACATTATTATTCACCCCACAAATCAAGTATACTCGCAATGCTAAATTGTAAATTGCTTTAAAGGCATGCAGTATGAGCACAACACATCAAAACTGCATGGAAGCATTAACACAAAACTCAGTAGGAAAAAGAAAACGTTTAGGTTTAGTTTACAAGGAGCTTCAACTTTCTATTATGCTGATGATCAGGGATTACATTTTAACATAAGTTGAGAAAAACAAGGCAGAATTTATAGGAAATTTTAAGTTTTTAACTCTCTGATAAGGAATTTACATTCTAGTGGTTTTGAGGGGAGATTATGGTGGTCTTAATATGCTAATTTCCAGGTCCACAGTTTATCCAAGGATTCTACTAGAGCAGCTTTGCATGATTCAATCGCATATTACTTATTAATCTTATAGCGTGCCTCGGTTTATCCACCGTCGGAAACAAAGCCGTATTAACTCCTCTCACATTCTTCAGATTGGCTGTCTCTAACAAACAGAAGGTTTGAATAGAAGGTGGGTGGGGCAGAGCTAAATATCCACTAACTGGGATTACTGTGTGTTGAACTTGTACAGTTTAAAGAGGTAATCCCAGTGAGCCATTATATATACACATTATTTGAAACATTAGCCAGTTTAATGTTTTTAGGCCCATTAGGAGGGAGAGAAAGAAAAATCCCAGTGGTCCCCTTGAGTTTAGGGATTTTAGGCTTAGTGTTACTCAAAATGTCGACTGGCTTGACTCTTGATGATGGAAGGCTAGCAAGCTGGCTAATGAGTATATAGCAGCAGGAATGGTTCCCCACACCCTAAGAGATGTGAGTGGTTTCATGAGAAACTGACATGATGTATCACAATGTCAGAGTTTCTTTTGGCTTTATTTTGATAATGGGGGAGGGAGTAATGGACACAATATTTTTTGTTGGCATAATATTTTTTGTTGACATAAATGGTCACCGACTGATCACATGCAGTTTTTAATGATATAGAACACTTCAGTTATTTACAGAAAATTATCCTTGGATATGGGTCACGTTCCCCGGGGGTCCCCAGACCCCACTTTGTGAACCATCTATAAAAATGTGACTGATTTAGACATCATTTGGTACTCTGCCATATTTGCATCATCAAACTGAGGCAAAAGTAAAAGTTCAAGTGCTGTAGTAAGATTGGAAAAGAAAAGAGAAGGCACAAAATAATCAAACCGAGGCATTCTGATGAACTGGCCAAAAAATGCTAAGATAGAAGACTTGAACTAAAGGGGAATGTGAACACATAACCAAAGTAAATTAAAAAAATCTTCACGACAGGCCTGAGTGTAATGACAGACAGTATTCGTGTCCGCCGCCACAGCTGTTCCCGGCCCCAAAATAGCAACAGAGTATATTTTTTGCGTTCATAACAATAGCATATGACATCAAGTAGAGCAAGGAAGCAAACTCAGCAGCTACTTTTCACAGTAATTATCACTCGCTACCAGGCTCCGTCTGGCTTAAATCGCAACCAGCATGCAACTGTGACCTCACACAGCCATACTGTGTACACACTTTTTTTTTTTTACTTTGCTCTCTTCGTTCACCTGTGCATATCACAGCTCAATCTTAATTTCCTTCACTTACACAAAATCCTTCAGTTACATAAATTTGCTTTAAATATCACGTACTGCGAGCTTGCATTGATGGCAAAGGCTATCACAGGAGGTCATTTATATGTACTGCTTCTTCGCACAATGCTCTCATTGTGCATGTAGACCCAGTTTATATAATGACCTCTATGGTTGTAATGTTAGCAGCCCCAGGGGAAGCCTCTTAGAATAATAATAGGCAGGGAAAAAAACAAAAAAAACAACATTCACATTTACCTGCATTCTTTACGAAGCACACAGAAGTAGCCTAAAAGCTGAACGAGTGTGTCGTACGAGGAAAACAAAGAAGCCTCACTGTGTATGAGTTACAATATATCTGAAACCATAGCTGTCCTTTAACTTTTTCTCTCCATAAACAATCCTCAGAGGACACATCATCAGAAAGTGGAGAGGCAGGAGAGACAGAAACATGGTGTGAGAGGCAGCACGAGAACAGCGCTGTGGAAAAACTGAACTAATCCCAGGAATGCCAGCGCCCATGTATCCACTGCCTAACACAAGAGGTACACTATATAAATGCCAGCGTTAAGGTCAGCCATGGAAATGAAAGGAAATCGAGAAAAAGGAAACACCTTCAAAAAGTGATTTTCCCTCCCTTATCATGCATGTTACCCACTAAAGAGTATTGAGCAGCATATATGGTTAATATGCATTTATAGATTTTTTTTTTTAATAAACCTGGATAAATAAATGTGAACTGGACTAAAATGAGCCACAGCCCAATGGTGAGGGAGTTTGGACTTTTAGGGCGGGGCAGAATGTGACGGAAAAGAGAGGATCCACTGCTAAATTGAATGCGGCACAATAACTGTTTAATCTCAGATGTCTTGGTTTTTTTCCAAGATTTAAAAAAATAATAATAATAATTAAAAATACAACCTGATTGCACACCTGCCAATAAATCTTTTATCAGAGCAGCTATTCCATATGTTCCCTGTAAGAACTTGACATCCTCCATCAGCTTTAACAGTACGGTGGAGCTCTGACACCTCCATGGAAAAAACTGAATTGTATCTTTTCTTGCACCAAGGGTTTCAAATCAAGCTGCTGTCAGAGCCCTCAGCTACTTTCCTGGCAGCTCATTGCATATATCTGTCTCAACTTGTCTCCTTTCTGAAGAGTCCAGCAGGTTAATGAGAAGGATCACTTCCCGGTGCTCGCCTCTGTCTAGAGGATTAGAAAGCACTCTCAAAAAATAAATAAAAACTGTAAACACATATTTACAGCCACAGAAAGTAGGTCTGAAGAGCTGCGAGTAGAAGCACAGCGTTACAGAGAGCGCCCGGGTAAGTGAGCCACTTTGATCACCAGTAGTTTTACACTGAAGAAGTGACTCTCCAGCGATTAGAAAATGTGTAGAGCTCATCAGTGCCCCAAAATAGCGAGGCCCATTAATTAGGCTCAAACAATGTTCTCCTAGTGTATCGACTTCTTAATGGACAGATAAGAACCTTGTTCGTATTCCCATCCAGTCAATGGCACAGGGCTCTCTGGGGTTTTGGAATGGGTATTATGTCATCTCACCATGCCCTTCAGAAACTGGACCTGTGCTGGGGGGGTTTTTCCCTCTCTCTTTCTTCCTCTTCCTCTTCTTGCTCATTAACTATGTAGGAGTGAGATGAAGGTCTGGAGCAGCTAGATAAGGTTGCTCACAGACCCTCTTCCCCTGTCTGGGATATGTGCTTAGACTTCAATTTGAGCTTGTAACACTTTTGCATGAACACTGAAGGCTCACAAAAAAAAAAACCCTAACTGTTCATGATGTCACTGCAGAAGGGAGTATATCTGAAACGGTCAAACCTCCCCTCCCATCCCCTCCCCTCCATCTCATCATGTTATTCAGACAACAGTAGATTCCAGACAAGACAGACCACCTACCTTAATTCCACAGACATACACTCTTGGCGTCTGATACACATGCACAAACACATAGTGAACACTAAATCCTAACACAGATGGCTTTTTCTCAGCTCCCTTTGTTTGACAATCTTGCACGGTAGAAAGAAGATTAAGTAAATGGCTTCAGGTGTTGTGGCATTATCTGCAAGATTTCTGTGACTGACAGCCACTCTGCAGTTTACAGAAACATCTTTCACCAGGCAATTCTTTGAAGGAGAGGTTTTGTAAATCTGCTTACTGATTGAAACCAAGCATAATGACAAATTAAAGCTCGCTGCCGAGATATGTGTGAGTGTGTGTGTGTGTGTGTATGTGTGTGTGTGTGTGGGGGGGGGTTGAAGATTTTCTTGGCAAACTTCACTTCACGACTGAAACTTCCTTATTTAATTAGACATTCTCCTGAGCAAAAAGTCAAGATCATTTAAGCATTACTAGCTTCACTGGGCTTTGAGATCATTCTTCATTCTTAGATGATCTGATTGTTTTCAAATAGTGGACCTCTAATTTGGGGATTACAGCAGTCATCAATCAACACTGAGTAAGATTGAATAATATGAGAATGAATGGAAGTTCAGTTTTCTTGATTTGATTAATAGCAGCCCGACAGGAATATTCTAATATGACTGCAGGTAATGGTCTACATGTTATATTTTACCTGTAATAACTTGCTGTGAATCAGGGTTCTTGTGGCTAATTACAGTTTTCTAACAGGTTTATTTTTTGAATGTGTAATGCTATTTTTTGTGTGCCTACACTAAAATCTTTAACGGTTTAGGAAGATTTAAAGCAACAGCCACAATATTAAGGGCATCTCTTGAGCTTCAAAGCAACACTTCTCCATTTCTTTCCTCGGAGAAACAGATGCAGGGCTGTGATGCTTTGGTTTCCAAGTGCAAAGCGTAGTTAATATAAATTATTGAATAAAAACTTTTTCCCCCCAGTGAAGGCTTCTTTGGATGTAGTATCTTCATATTTACCTCACATAAAACTGCTTAGCAGTAGGCAGCCTGCTTTAATGAAGGCTACAGCCTATTATTTCTAGTACAGCCGAACTTCGGGGGCATGAAGTGGCACACTGTATTCTTCTATTAGGAGTGTGACTAATTATGATTCCGTTTTGTCTTGCCCACCACAACAGCGCCACGAGAGTTCATAAAAGTTTTCCTGAGAGCAAAGCCAAAAGGTTCACTGGTGAAGAATACACTTTAAAGTTTACCTTGAGCTACACCGATGTCAACCAGGAGGAAAAGCAAAAGCCAGGATACGGTCGGCATCTCAGGACAGGATCTCGGCGATCTTCCTCCTTCTCTGTCAGTCCGCGCAGAGTACCCCATGATGAGGAGTCAAACTACGCTCTAAGGCGAGTCCCAGTCACTGAGAAATTGATATGAAATGCGCGCTGGTGTCCCTCGTTACGCTGCGCAGCACTCCACAAACCCTCACAACCCGGGCGTAAAAGAAAGAAAAAATGGCTTTCGACAAAATATATCCAGCGCAGTGTTTTTGCAAACATGTGACACTTTATGAAACAAGAGGTGGGTGCATCGCCCTCTGTCACAGAGGATGTTGCATTAAAATCTGTATCCGCTTGCTTTTCCCTCTAAAGGTTCACTTGCTAGAGGTGTGGATCGATGTTCTGACGGCAAATTCATGCTCCCACATGAAAGCAAAGTCCGTCCAGCAGAGTCCGAGTCTGTGCAGAACCCTTTTTCACTCGTGCAGTGGGAGAGCAGTGTGTGTGCGTGCACCGCGTCTCCAGCGCTCCACTGACGGCACTGAACGAACCAGGGCAAGGAGCCGTCTCTGCGGGCTACCTTGCTCCTTCAGCCAATCCAAGTGCTCCGGCAAGTGGCGGCGCTGCATCAAAACCTGGCCCGGACAGCAGCGAGGAATGGATGCTGATTTTTTTTTTCAGCTGAGAATTTTAATCACGCATTCATCCAGGTTAGACTACGAGACAGAAATTAGATTAACAGAAATATGAGTGTATGCAGTGGCGGAAGGAATCCGTTATGTAATGCTTGTGCTTGCGCGTAAATTCCTGCATCCAAAACTAAAGTATCATTAGGGAAAATCCTTTTAAGCTGTTTAAGCCCATTTCAATATTGTTTTTTAAAAACGATTTTAAATACTTATTTATGTGTAGTAAGGCTTAGAGATGCGCAGTGAAAATGTTTTTACCTCCATTTGAACTTTAGAAATACAGATCAGCACCATAACATCAACAAACTCCCCCCTACATATATGATATAAGTCGTTAATTTAAGAGTACTTTGCAAAAATATTTAGTCACCCTTAATTTCTTTATATTTTGCAAGGAAAATGGGAAGGTTTACTGAAATGTGCAAACATACGTGGAAATACAGTATATAAGCTTAAAAGTCAATATGTCAATATGTTGATGCCAAACAGCTTCAGTAATGCTGAGGTCCGGGCTCTGGGGAGGACAATCCATGAGTGATAGTGTTCCATTGGGTGTTTTTCTAACCAGGTATGCTTTTACTGCCTGTGCGTTTGGGATCATTGTATTGCTAAAAAAAAAATAAAGCACTGGCCAATCAGACACTGTAAGGTGGCTCAAAATCTCACTGTACTTTCTGCATTCATAATTCCATCAATATTGACAAGATCTCCAACACCACTGGCTGAAACGCAGCCCCAAACAATGACAGAGCCTCCACTGTGTTTTACAGATGCCTGTAGACACTCACCGTTGTACCTCTCTTCCATTCAAACTGACGATAAACTTCATAGGCCTACTGACCATATACTTCAAATTTCAATTCATCATTCCATCAGACATATCGCCATTGATTTTCACACCAGTTTTTGTGTAATTTGGAATACCTCAGCTTTTTCTCCCTGTTTCCCTTTCTTAAAAATGGCTTCTTGACAGCTACTTATCCTGCAAGACCACATCTGTCAGGTCCCGTGACAGCTCTGTGATCTGGATTTTTTCCTATTTCAGTTTCCTCAGGCTTTTGTTTTTTTTTTGTAAGAAAAAAAAAAACAACACACCATGCTGAGATATGCTAATTCATAGGTAACCTTATAGGTCAATTTTAAGTTGCTGAACAAACAAACAAACACATTGCTCTGAAAATAGTATGGTACAAGGACTTTTAGCAATTTTAGCAATCCCCAAAATACTTTGAGCATTTACATATCATTGCTTGTAAATTATTATTGTTAAACTTTTATGTGAAAATATGTGAAAAAGCAGCCAATGACCAAAGAAATTATTCAAGACTTTTAAAATAAATACAAGAACTTCTGGCTCCTTAAAAACAAAATATTTCCCCTGGTCTTCCACCGCACATTAAGAAAAACCTGAATACCCACTCCCTTATCCCCACTGCTCTCTGGCAAAGGGTCACAAAATAAGTACAAGTGGCTATGAGATGATTAACTGGAGAGGAAAGAAGAAAAAACAAAATAATTTTTTGATACATCTAAATTTTGTTTGGTTCTCAGCGGGGAATGAGGATACCCACTTGAGAATTTAAAGTATCGCAGAAGTTGGTAAAAGGTTTGAGGGTTTTTGTTGATTAAAAGGAGACAACAACTCAGACATCTAAAACATGAAAATGATCCCCACATAGATACGGCCACTTTTTAGTCACAAGCATCCATCACCTATAACTGCACATTTCCTTGTTTACACAGCTACAACATAAAGTAGCAGAATAAATCAGAATAATTTTTTCCTGCACAGTAGAGCACAAAATGTTTCTTATATTCCCTACCAGTATAGTGCAAATAGGTGCTTCCATTTTCTGCTTTATTTAGAAGTAATAATAGCATGTCACAAAACCTGATCGATGATGAGCTCAGCCTCGCAGACTTTCAAACCCACACACAGAGACACACAGACATATACATGACTTTTGCTTTGCAGGGGGAAATTTGTTTCAGTCATTTCAATAAAAGCTGATAAGTAATTTCATATGCATCAGAGATGCCTAGGCAATGCTCCCGGCACTGTGATTAATATGGCATGTGAACTTGACACTATCTCTGTACCAAAATTAAACTTTTCAAATATGAATCTAATTCAAGAAACACAGTATTCTCCCCTTCTCTGTAATCCTTTTTATGCACAGTGCTGTGAAAAAAGTATTTGTCCGCATCCTGAATTCTTAAGTTTTTGCACATTTGTCAGACTTAAATGTTTCACATCATCTAACAAACTGTAATATTAGATCAGGAAAACCCAAGTAAATACAAAATGCAGCTTTTAAATGATGATTTCATTTATTAAGGCAAAAAGCTATCCAATCCTACCTGGCTAAGTAATTGTCCCCCTTGTTAAATCAAAAATGAATTGTAATTAAGCACACTTTTTGGAAAGGTGAGGGTGAACTTCACTGGCCACACCCAGGCCTGATTACTGCCAAAGCTGCTGAATCAAGAAATCACTTAAGAAGAACCTGTCTGAAAAAGTAAAGTAGGCTAAAAGATCTCAAAAACCAACACATGTTACAATTTAAAGAAACTCAAAAACAGATGAGAAACAAAGTCATTGACATCTATCAGTTTAAAAAGGGTTTCTAAGGCTTTGGGACTCAAGTGAACCACAGATAGAGACATTATCCACAGATGGAGAAAACTTGGAACAGTGGCGAACCTTCCCAGGAGTGGCCAGCCTCATAAAACTACTACAAGAGCACATCAACAACTCATCTAGGAGGTCACAAAAGAAAAATCCATGGGAGAGTTTCAAGGTGAAAAACTCTGCTGACCACACAGAACACAATCTTAAGCAGGTCTTTCATGCTCAACATGTTTCTGTGTGGCTGAATTAAACAACTATGCAAAGAAGATTGGGGCTCTTCTTCACTTAAATCATCATCATTTTAAAAAATCCCTTTTTAAAGTTTATTCAGGTTATGTTTGTTTATTAATAAAATGCATTTGATGACCTGATACATGTAAGTTTGACTAATATGCAAAAAATAAGAAATCAGGAAGGTGCCACATACTTTTTCACAGGACTGTATGGTGATGTCCATATATGGACGTGTGTTTAAAAATTCCCCTCTTGCCCTTGCAAGCAGTCTATCCTTCAAGCTCAGGTCTTCTACCAGAGGCCTGGGAGCTTGAGGGTCCTGCACAGTATCTTAGCTGTTCCCAGGACTGCGCTCTTCTGGACAGAGATCTCCGATGTTGTTCCTGGGATCTCCTGGAACCACTCACCTGGCTTGGGAGTCACCACACCTAGTGTTCCAATTACCACTGGGACCACAGTTACCTTCACCCTCCACATCTTCTCGAGCTCGCGAGATCTTCTCGTTCAAGTAGCCCCGGCCGAAGGGGTTACATGAATAGGATGAGGCACCTATAAATACAAAACAGCTTTTGCATTTGAGTAATTCAGTCTTCTGAAAGGAATGATAGGTATATAGTCTACATATTCTGTACATAATCCATTGCGTGTATTTGTTTTATTGAAAATCACTAAGGTGAATCAGAGGGGCTTTGAGGTTTTTGAATATAGACCTGAATATGTGGACTCTTTCCAACAACCTTTTGTCAATAATATGGTTATATTAAGGCTAGGTGTTGCCCACTTTTAGCCTGAACATTATCACATACTCACCAAAACAAGTACAAGTGTTACACTTTGCACAATATGAACTTATGAAATGGCAGATTGTTCTAAATTTTGACTGTGGTTAACGAAATAGATTATAAGCAAGATGAGACCTAGGAATAGACAAAACTCACTTCCTCACCAGTGTTGGTCAAGTTACTTGAAAAAAGTAATCAGTAACTAATTACTGATTACTTCCCCAAAAAAGTAATCCCGTTACTTTACTGATTACTTATTTTCAAAAGTAATTAATTACTTAGTTACTTAGTTACTTTTTAAAAACACGATTTACAACCTGAATAGGTGATAAAGCGATAGATCTTTCAGCCCAATTCTACTTTTTCTACATAATCCATCATACAAAATGTAATCAAATGGAAAAGTCTCTTTTTTTAACTTGTTTTATCAGTTTTAATCTTTTAACTTTATGCATCAAGCAAAAATTTAATTATATGCAACATTCTCTGAGTTGAATAAATTAGTTTAACATTTAAACCTATTTTCTTCACATTCCAGCACATAAAATAAAATATTTTTTGTGTTTACACTCAGTCTTTCAAATAGATGCAAGTAAAACACAGCAGAACATAAATAAAGTCAAAGACTAGCGGTCCTGTTGCTCTATTTTCACCTGTAAAGCAGGACTGCGGTAGGCGGAGGTTTACCCTGGTGCAGGTGTGCCGCAGTCAGTTGAAGAATCCGCGAGTTTCTCTGTAAGTTTCCCATTACGTCGTTGCGCACTCGGTGCTTGCTTGGAAGTTTAGGGGTTTTTTTCGCTGTAAAAAGAAGTTTTCTTCCCACGCACGATGGACGCTAAAGTTTTTGTCACTTTTTATGGAATCAAACTCAAAGTAAGATCAGTACTTCCACGCTTTAAACGCTGCACGCTCATACTCTCTCCCACAATCGATATGTGATCCATTGTTGATCTGTACACAGCTGTTGTCACTAATGGCGCACTCGCTTACGTCACTGTCGTGAGACATTCTCGCAAAAAATCACGGTTTTAGTAACGCAGTAACGCAGCGTTCCTACGGGAAAGTAACGGTAATCTAATTACCGTTTTTGCAATAGTAATCCCTTACTTTACTCGTTACTCGAAAAAAGTAATCAGATTACAGTAACGCGTTACTTGTAACGCGTTACTGCCCATCTCTGTTCCTCACTTTTCAACCTGAAATTCAGGAAGGACAGGGCAGTTTCTTCTTTCACCTGTCAAAAGAGGACCAGCTAAACCAAGTCCAAGCAGTCTGCGTGTGTTTTGTAGAAATGTCTTATGACCTCAAGAAGTTTTGTAGGGGGCTACTAAGAAGCTGCAGCTGTATCTGTATTCTTGGCAGGAAGTGGCACTCCTAGTTGGTGTCA